ACGACAGTCGTCTGTGCGACGTGGGGGGGGGGGGGGAGGTTGAATTGCAAACCAGCTTGTTAAAAGGATCCTAATGTTTTAGTTCATTAAGTATAAATTTTAATGTATTGGATGTAGAGTGTACAGCGTAGAGTAATTGTAGGGAGTGCACAGTGTATGATTAGCACTTCTCAACTCTGTATTAGATGGACATGACGTCAGAACCGACTAAATTTGAAAGTGCGCTCCTCCCAGTTTTCTTATTTCACTGGTGTTACATACATTTTAAACAGAATTAAAACTTGATACATTTATCTGTTTTTCTACGACTCACCAGAAATATTAAAGTTCAAACTAAAGCTTGGGTTAATAAAGAGACAATAATACCACTAGCATGGTGTGACGTTTATAACTATAATACCACATAGTATCTTCTAAGTGCCTGAACCCAAAGTGTAGTGGACTGCAGTAGTCTGATTAAGTCACATTTAGATCGTTTTTATCTTGCTAATAGAAGTACATTGTTTGGCATATTAGTAAAATTTCTGTTAGCTGAGTTCCTGCACAGATCTTGCAAGAACTCAGCTAACAGATGTTTCCGCGTATAAAAGCTATATTCAAGTTTTATACACCAAAAAACTTTTCAAGTAGAATTTCGTTATAACGGCGTCTACTTTGCACACCGTGTTTACCTTACTAAAATGTTTTTATAATGTGTGTGTGTATATATACACAGTTCTAAAAGATTAAGTAGAAAATATTCTTGAGGTGATTAGCTAAAACACAGACACACTAAGATTTTATATTTTGGTATCTAATATTTAGGAAGAAAAGAGTATTTCAGCAATTTATAACTAATCCACTGTATATTTTGAAATTTACTCTGTTGAAATTGTTTAAAGTCAGACATATAAACATCAGGATCTTGCATTTATGCATGTTGTTGATCCTGACAGCGTACCGCACATTTACTGACATCGTTATCATGAACCACTATAATGGTTCATAATAGGAATCGCAAGGAACTGCACAAAACCCTAATTGAACTTTCGGACAAAAAACACTTTAACTTTACTATTGACTGCTGAGGCTGTACACATATAAAAATACACAAAAAGGCACACATTTTAGACTTGTAATGAAAATAAAATCCGCTCAAAACGGCCCGTTTGTATTTCTTATTATTATTATTACTCTCTTGCCAGCCTACAACAAAAACGGCTTGTTATTATCCACCTAAACTACGGAGGTCGTGGGGACATTGAAAAGCTAAAAACGTCATAATTCTAGTGTAAGCGATGTCATCATTACCCCTTAAAGTTAGCTTTCTTAAGAATATGTAGTGTTTTTGTAAAAAGCTTAAGTACAGGGTGAAACAGGTATTACCAAACAATAATATATTAATGTTAGATGACTGTAACATGTAGATAGATACTCAAAGCTTTGTACACTATACCATCGGTGTCTTTAGGGAGCCAACCACTATATTATGTATGAAGTAAAAAAAAATCAGTACAAATAATATTAAAATTTTATTACACACATTCTTGGAATAATTACTTTAAAAGACAAAAAGGTTTATTTAAAGTGATGTTTTAGACGTGTATGTTTTATTTCAAAAGGCTGCTTTTATACTGGTAAAATTTTATACGCGCTTAGTAGGGCCTGTGTCTTAGTCTGAACATATATTTGCCCATTGCAATGTATTATATAGTGACTTGCAAAAGTATTCACCCCTACCAATAATGTCACATTTTGATGAAATACAAATAATATAAACAATATATTAATGAACTTGTTTTTCTTCAAAACTCTAATTATCAAACTTAACACTGTTATGTGTGAAGGAGGTTGAATGTTAGCAAAACCTGCAAAGAAAATATATAAAAATAGAATTTTGCTGATTGCAAAAGTATTTAACCCCCTAAGTCAGTACTTGGTGGAAGCACCTTTGGCAGCAATTACTGCTGTGAGTCTTTTTGGATAGGTCTCTACCAGCTTTGCACAATGGGATGGTGCCATTTTTGCCCATTCCTCTTGGCAAAATTGCTCTAATTCTGACATGTTCGTTGGGGATCGTTGATGGACTGCAGTATTGAAGTCTCGTCATAAATTTTCCATTTGATTCAAGTCAGGACTTTGACTGGGCCACTTCAGGACATTCAATTTCTTCTTTTGAAACCACCCCAGTGTGGCTTCGGCCTTGTGCTTCGAGTCACTGTCCTGCTGAAATGTGAGTTTTCAACCCAGTTTTAGATTCTTGACTGACTCAAGCAGGTTTTCCTCTAGGATGTGCCTGTACTTTGCACCATCTATCTTCCCCTCAGTCCTGACAAACTTCCCAGTCCCTGCTGATGAGAAGCATCCCCATAACGTGATGTTGCCATCACCATGCATGACAATGGGGGTGGTGTTGACTGGGTGATATGCTGTGTTGGGCTTGCGCCAGACGTAACGCTTTGAAATTAGACCAAAAACCACAATTTTTGTCTCATCTGACCACAAAACTTTCTGCCACATGTCTATAGTATTATTTACAGCTTTGTCGCAAACTTCATATAAGATTTAAAATGATTCTTTTTCAGTAATGGCTTTTTTTCTGCCACTCGCCAGTACAGGCCAGCTTTCTGTAGGGACCGGGATGTTGTCGATGTATGAATACTGACTCCCACTTCAGAAATGGAACTTTGCAAACCTTTCAAAGTCACTGTTGGCTTCACAGTGATATCCCTAATCAGTTTCTTGCTTGCCCGACTGCTTAGTTTGGAAGTGCAGCCTGATCTGGGTAGTGATTGGGTATTATAAAGCACATTCCACTTCTAAATGAAGGTATTCACCATACATCAAAGGGATAATTAGCGACTTTGAAAACTTTTGTAGCCTTCTCCTGACCTGTGGTTCTCTACATCTTTATCCCTGACTTGCATGGAAAGCTCCTTGGGCTTCATGGTTGGTTTGTTATATCACTATGTGAGTTGTGACTTGAACAGGTGCATTTACGCTGAAGTCAATTTAAACTACTTTGATTACACACAGAGACCATAACGCTAATTTTTTGTCCTTTCAATCTAATATTTTGCACTTGAACTGATTTAGGGTTGCCATAGCAAAGGTGTTTAATACTTATGCAATTAAGAATATTTTATTTTTCTTTGAAAATCTAACTTACGTACATGATATCGGCGTTTTTTAGAATACTCAATTTGGAGTAGATTCTAAATACAAAGTCCCATTTGAAAGTTTCACGATTGCTAGTTCAGACGGCAACAAAATGTGGAACTTTGAAGGGGAGTGGATACTTTTGCAAGACACTGTATATAGAGAATTTAATTACACAGAAACTATAAATGCTCGTTATATTCTCAAACAAATCTCCATGACAATCTTCAGCTGCAGCTTAACATTTTACATCTCCAATTAACGCGATCAAATAATGAATAGCTACAATAAATCATCATGAACCGTAACAGCTAGCTATTAGTACTAACTACGTTTATCGTCATTACAACGTATAAAGTTAGCTACCATAACAAGTAATCCTTTGCCGATAGATAAGAATAAAAAACCAAGCAAACAAGACAAGAAAAAGTAGGAAATTTACAAACCTACAAGTAGGGATCGTAAAAGAAGTAAGCAAACAAGGCTGGAGATACTGTAGACATTATCTATTCAAACTACAAGTCCTAATTTGACTCTACCAAATGTAATTCTAGGTAACAGCATGGAGCCAAATTGGGATTTGTTTGTTTGTTATGAATTTCGCGCAAAGCTACACGGGGCTATCTGCGCTAGCCGTCCCTAATTTAGCAGTGTAAGACTAGAGGGAAGGCAGCTAGTCATCACCACCCACCGCCAATTCTTGGGCTACTCTTTTACCAACGAATAGTGGGATTGACCGTCACATTATAACGCCCCCACGGCTGAAATGTTTGGTGTGACGGGGATTCGAACCCGCATGGGATTTGTAGTTTGAGTAAATAATGTTTACAATATATCCAACCTTGTTTCCTTACTTTTTGAGGCCCCAGTGACACAGCGATATGTTTGCGGACTTACAACGCTAGAATCCGGGTTTCGATACCCGTGGTGAGCAGAGCACAGATAACCCATTGTGTAACTTTGTGCTTAATTACAAACAACAACAACTACATGTTTCGATCCCTATTTGCAGGTTTTTAAATTCCCATTTTTTATTTACCTTGTACTTATAAAATGCGGCTTAGTATTCCCCCTAAGTTTTGGGGATTTATTGTTTATATGTTGGGAACACCAAAGATATGATATTTCAGTCGGGAATAATATTAGAAACATATGCAAATAATTGTATGAGTTTATATTCGAGACGTATCGCAGTGATACAACGATGATGGACGATTCGTGTGATGATAAAATGTTGATTCCAGTGTCTGTCCTTTTTAAGCAAAAACAAATGTGGAAATGTAAAGAGTCTGCTTAATGACTTGAATGTATGTTCATCTAAATGTGTAATAGTTCTGGAAAATACTCTACAGAAACATTTCCCATCTTTATCATCCCAGTTCCCTAATGATATATTTCTTAAAGTTAGTGAAAATTATAAAAATTATATTAAATATTCTTATAGAAATTAAATTAACTGCAAATGTGTTTTATGTTGTTGTTGTTTTTTAATTTCAAAACGTGTGTTAATGTTTCAATCAATTTGTTAGGAGTCGCAGTGGTTAATATGTTACTTACTTTCTCATCTGCAAACGAATATAACACTATGCATTAGGTATTTGAAGTACAGAATATAAGGCTGGATCACTATTGTTTGGGACATTCACGCAGAGCCACACAAAGGGTATCAGCGCTAGCCGGTCCTAATTTTGAACTGATTGACCATAGGAATCGCAACTGATCATCAGCGCCCACCGCCATCTCTTTGGTTACTCTTGTCTGACGAAATAGTGGGATTTGATCGTCACTCTTATAACTCACCTGTTATTAGCCTTAGCTTCTAAGTTCAATGTAGCTAAAGCCACAAACACGAATCAATTGGAATGATTAACAATTAAAACTTTGTAAATAACCCCCAACACTTCACATTTGCCTATGAAACAGTCGGTGACCTCCAAAAACATACAAGCAAGACTTGGAGCTGCAAGGGTGCGTTTCAAAACATATCCCACGATGTTTTAAATAAACAATACTTTTCTCAGTCTTGTGTGAGTCCTTTTAAAATAGTAATTTTCGAAGGTCATAAATATTATTGTTGAAAGAAAAGTCACTACAAATACAATCTTCCTGAAAAAATAATATTCATCATATCCCCATTCGTTTGGCGATCTACCTTCAACAGCAGTACATAATATGTATGTTCATGTAACGTTGGTAAAATATGGCTATTTAAAATTTTCTAAAGCTCTTGATAAATATGTTTTATTTGAATATACTGTTCTCCTTATTGCTAAACAGTTACTGTGTAAAGCTGACTTTAGGAAAACTCTTTCATTATGTTGTATACATTAAATTGGCAGTGTGATTTGTTGACATAAATTAATGAACGCGCTTAATCACTTTTACCTAAATTCAGAATTAAAACGTTAACTTTCTGTTAGCTAGCTTGATAGAAAAACGTAAACACGTCTGTATTCATCACTTGCTTTAAATATTAATGAATAATGTAAGATCATAATTCAAAAATGTACTAACGTTTCTAGGATTTTGTATATGCAAGGGGGTATAAGGGGCAAACGAAATTAGCACTTTAATGTCGATATAAGTCAGGCCCTGTATGGCCAGGTGGTTAGGGCGCTCGATTCGCAATATGTGACAAATATCTCCATTGAGGCTCTGCCCCCTATGCCACTACATTAATGTGATTGTTCACTGGAGGGCAGACGGTAAACTTATGGACTTACAATGCTAAAATCTGAGGTTCGATTCTCTGTGGTGAACAGATCGCAGGTAACCAATTCTGTAGTTCTACGTTAAAAAATCATACACACTAAGAATGTGTTACACATTTTGTCTGCCACTGGCAAGGTGAACACTGGCAAACGTTGTTGTTTTTAATTGTTATTCATGTTTTTAAATATTCTCGTTTTAGATGAATAAAGTTTTTTTATTCGGAATTCTGAAGTCCTCCAATCAACGTGTTTTAAAAAATGTATAGTGATTATGAAAATTTAAAAAATAAGCTATATTTATGCAAACTTTTATAAACAGAAAGGGAATTTAAAAAAATATCAACTTTGTGATTTAAATTCAATCTGTAATAATTTTATTTTTATTATCATATGTTTATTTTTGAAGGTGGCGCCTCCATCACTAATTGGTAGTAACTATTTGAGTTCAGTGATGTGAATGTAGTATTTGACGAAGATAGCTTAGTTTACGAAATTTTGTTTCTTTGCTACCTAGTATTACTATTATTATTAACAAGTACTAGTTAAGTAAATTATGAATTAGCAAGTGCAATAGTTTGTTAAATATGTTTGTAATTTAAATGTATTTTAGTTCTGTTTGAAGTATTTGTTTTTAGCTTCAAGTTGAAAGTTCAACATGTCCATTCAATTTCAAACAAATGAAGCGTCGGCAGAAAGCTTAAATAGACCTAAATACGACGAAACAGTCGATGTACGCCCACTCCCCGTTGTTTTTTGTGGTAGCACTAGCAGTGTTGAACTGACAGACGATTTTTCGTCTTCTGCAGAAGGAGATATAGTAATTAATAATATCAGGCAACAGCCTAAAATTACAACTGAAGGTTAGTACGGTTTGTAGAGATATTTCATTATTTGTACCTAGTATAACTTATAACACTATAACTATAAATGTTTTGAATGAGTAATTTTACGCTGTTGTTTTTAATTTTGGTTTTACTGTTCTTGGCTATTAGTATTATTACTATCAGCCCTTTCTACTTAATATTTAAAGAAAAAATTATCAAAATTAAATAACTTGGTGCTTTCAGTTACAGTAAATACGTTATGTGTCTGAATATGTGATACACTCACTGAATACAGTTGCTTTTTTTGTACTAGTGTAAAACATTCAAATAATATCAAGAGTGTTAAGAGCAATAGCAATTTATGTTTAAGTATAAGAATTAGATTTTTTAGAAGTAGATAAGTAAAAATCTAAAATAGTCTAAACACATTTGTGTATTGACATTTGCAAAACTTAGCAATTAAAAAGGTTGTAGAATGTTGTTATCAATGTATGTTAATCTGTTTTGGGATCAGGAATAATATCAATGGACAAGATTATATGCTGTCATGCTGCTTTTTTTGTATCTTTTTTAAGAAAATGTGATTTTGTTAAAAGAAAAATTCATTCAAATAATTATTAGAAGGAAGCCGAGTTCTGCATCTTTAGCCTTTTAGTTTGAAAACAAAGAAAAATAATTGATTTTATGGAATTAGTTATTTTACGTTGAAATAAAACTGGGAAGCAATTATGATGTGTGATAGCAAAGTTGTGGAAATTGTTTTACTTATTATATAATTAAATTTAATAACTATGTACTTATCTTTTTGTTTTCAATTAACTAAATATATTGTTTCTTTAGGTAAATTTGGTGGATCACCTGTGCCATTTAGTTGTGTTTAGAAATATAAGGTTTTTTTGTTTTTTTCAACTTGCTAACATGTGTTAACTCTTGTTGAACTTAATCTATAGACAAGAAACAGTAATGTTCAAAATAGTTTTTGCACTTGAGAATGAGCTTTAACTTCCAGCGTGGATATGGTTGAGGTGGTGGAAGTGCATAAGAATCTAGGTACAAGAAATCGATGTACAGTTACATTAAATATGGAGATAAAGAGTAGTAGCATTTTATTTCCTAATTTCAGAAGGCTAATTTTGAGGGGATGAAAGAAATGATCCTGAACAGTTGAGATTTTAAGTTAATTGAAAATTCTTCTTAGATGATTCAGATGTGGGAGGTTATTAAACACAAATTGTTAAACATTCAAGATAAGTATGTTCCACAGAGGTAAAATAATGATGACTACAAGTAACAGACCAGGGTGGCTTAACTAGAAGTATTAGGGAGTAAATTAGTATAAACGTTATTAATTTTAAAAGTTTAAGTTAACTTCTAAGAAAGAGAACTTGGAGTGACATATAGAAAGATGTTAGCAGAAAATCTTATGTTAATATGTGAATTGGTTCTATGAATAATGCTGAAGGAAGGATTATTACATTAGAGTATGAATGGTTGAGTTGCTTAAATTTTCTTTTTTTTTTCATTTTTCAATATAGAAGAAGTGAGCAGTATTCCAGATCACAAGAAACAACTATAAAATATAACATATATATAAGTTAACAACATCACACATGAAAATGTTAAAGTAAAATTGGGAAGTTTAAAAAATGATAAGGCTTCTGAGACAAATATTTTTCCAGGGATATTGTTTGAGTCTTTGAATAGTGGGCAGATAACAGAAGTCTGGAAACTGGTTAATATTACACCTATTTATAAGGGAGGTGACAAGCATTGTCTAGGTAATTATAAGCAAATTAACCTTACTTCTCTGATGGTAAAAGTTTTTTAGAGACTGATTAAGGATATATGCAAAGCCACTTAAAGTTTACAGTTTTGTTGGAGAGCCAATATGGTTTCACACAGGGAAATCTTGCATCATGAATCTTTTGACTTTCTTCAAAGATGCTACTGCTTATTTCAATTTATGATAAAGTTTTTAATGTAGTATGCTTGGATTTTTGGATGACTTTTGACAAAATACCACATAAAAGACAAGTATCTCTGTGAGTATGGGGGGGCACGTTTCTCAATGGAATAAGGGTTGGTTAGAAGAGAGGAAGCAATGACTTGTAATTAATGGAGTTCAGTCAAACTGAGGTACCTCGGGGCTGTGTACTGAGACCCTTACTATTTTTTATATACACTAACAATATTTATAAGGGAATGATCAACAAATGGCTCAAGTTTGCTGGAGATGATAAAGTTTTGGGTATAATCGACTGTCAGGAGAATGCTGTTGTTTTACAAAAGGATTTGGATCAATTGGCAAATAGATGGTATTTCATTATGGTAAACACAAGGTAATGCATGTGGGCTACCTTAATTTAAATTATAATTACCACCTTGCTTCAAATTAACTCAATGTTATGAAAGAGGATCTAGATGTTTTTATAAGTCAGTCTCATAAGCCTTCAGACAGGGTGTTGTTGCTGGTAGGAAACTAAATAGGTTTTGGGTTTTATCTACAGGAGAATTGAATATAAGTTATTTCTTTGTACATATCTTTGATAAGGTCACATTTATAGTATTGTGTTCAGTCTTGGACTCGTCATTAATTTAAGGACTTGTAATTGTTCAAAAGAGTTCAAAGAAAGAATACTGTGATGATTCCTGGGATGGAAAGATTGTTATATGAGGACAGGTTAATATCCTTTAAATTGTTTTTGTTTGAGAAAAAAAAGAGTTAGAGGAGATCTGATTGAAATGTTCAAAATTATAAAGGAAAATAGAGAGGATTGATGTAACATAATTTTTCATGTTTAATGGTGGGATTAAAGGACCTAGATTTCAGATATGACAAGTAGAAGTCTTCGAACTAGGTAATTTTATTTTTGGAGTAAATTCATTCCAAATGTGGTAGATGCAACAGCATTGGAATACTTAAGAGAGGTCTTGATAAGTTATTGTGAAATTAGGTTTGGATATAGACAGATGGGTATTTGATGAAATGAATTGGACAGATGTGATGAGTTAAGGGATTTCTTGTTAGCCTTCAAGTACTATGTTTCTAATTTTGTGGACTTATTATACAGTCATGTACCTTAATTGTTTTTGTTGATAATAGTCATAAATTGTTTTCTGTTTTATTGAGGGTCATTCCATTTGAAATTTACTTGTTGCATAAAGAAAAGTATAGTATAAATGAGTTGCTGCCAATATTAAGTTTAATTATTCAGATTAGAGCTGGACTATAAACTCAATTAATTGATATAATTTATTATCTATGAGCACTAACATTGTGTAAAATTATCAATTAATTGAAATTATGATTAAATTGATTAATATTACAAAAATTATTGACTAAGCAAAATTAGTGTTTTTTACACATCTGACTATCTAAGTAACCCAAATATTGCCATTTGAATTGCTTATTATTATTTTTGATTAATTCAAGTTAATTCAGCATAACCAATTAGTGTCAGGACTTGCAAAAATAGATTTTGAACAGGAATCTTTCTGATTCAAAATATAAAAAATTCTTGCTAGTTTCATACTAGAATACTGCTATATATATATATAAAGGCTAATTTTATTACCAGTGAAGTGGTGCATGCTGTTAAGTTTATTGTCCCTTCATACAGTGAAGTTGCACCTAAAGTATCTTGATATAGTTATGTTTGTGTAAATTCCCCAGAACTAAGCATACCTAACTTGTGCTAACCTGTATGTAATAGTAGTTATTGTTATGTTCAGTATTTTTCCAATTTATAATCACTGTTCTGAAGTATTGTTTATTTTCAACAAAATTTTATTAGTTTTAGTAGAGTAGTCATGGGAAAATTTGAGATATTTCTTGTTCGGTGCCCACCAACAGATTATTTTGATTCTGCTATATTAATCTGTTTAATATTGCAGAATTCACTGAATAAATATCATATAATGTTTTATTATTAATTATTCTATTTTATTGCATTACTGGTGTTATTTTCAAAATTATCTGTTGGTGGGCACCAAATAGGAAAGACCCAAAATTTGTGATGAGAAACTACAAATAACTAAGTGTATTTTCATCTTGCTAATGGCTTTGTACAACATAATTAAAAGAAAAGTAACTCAGTCCTGAATTGTTGCACTTGATGATGTCTATGAGATTAAATGAACGGTAGATTGAACATTTCTTTAAAAGGAGGAAAGCAACAAACTGGAAATAAGAAGAGTAGTCTCATGTGAGAATAATCAATTAGTTGAATATAATTGATTAATGAATTCAACAATTAATGAAGAAGCAAACTTCCTTAATTACCCATCTCTACTTCAGATTGTTGTAATTGTGTAAAACTAAACCATTAATGAATCTGAGTGTACATATCTCTTTGTAGGTGTACAAACCTTTCATATTAAAACAACAAGCATTGAATAGAAACCTCTTAAACTCCTTTGGCCTTTGGGTGGAAAGAAGGGATAAGTGCTCACAGAACTAGCTATAAATATTTTGCTCTAATAAATATTCTTATTAATTTTTAGCAAATATCAGAAATTGTCTAAGTTACACTGTATGCAAAATGAACTTTTCTGTCAACTGATGTACCTGTATGATATTTTGACCCCTATACAACAATAAATATAAAAAAAGGTTGGCATAGTAGGATTCATCTTTAGCTAAGACAGCTTTATTTTTTAAACTGGGTGGTTGGACTTTGGAATCGGTTGCCTTCAGATGTGGTAGATGCAGTTAATTTAAGGGAGTTTAAGGCTTGCTAAGTATTTGAATGATAAAGGTTGGTTTTGAGTATTTTATCTTTTATTTTAGAGTTTAGTTAATGGAACAACTTAGATGGACCAACAGGTTTCTTGTTGTCCTTGATTTATTTAAATATATGTATAAGGTGGTTAAGTTCTAAACTGAGTGTGTTATGAAAAGATAAAATTTGGATTAACAGTGTTTGTATCTCTGAATTTTATACTTGTCTATGTGTAGCAAGGACAGAATACAGAAAAAGAATGACAAATTTATATTACTCTGAAGACGAAAAAGAAAACTGATAATGAGAACTTGGTTTACCCTAACATGATTCAAACTGTCTGAACATTATATCTTTCAAAGTTTAATAGTACTTAATCTTGAACATGGTTAGAACAATAGTATGTTGTGTTTAAATCAAATATGTGAACAAGTAAAAAATACCCTGCCAGTAAAAAAGGTAAATATCACAGAGCATACTAAGGGGATTGTTTAAGTAAATACCAACAGCCAATACATTTATTTTGCCAGTAAATATCTTTAGTAAAGAATTAGCCTTTTATATGATTTGAAGTAAATGTTATGATTTCTTTTAAATTAGGGTCCAGCTGGTATGCTGCTGTTTTTCTGGTTGTCAATGCTGCTCTTGGAGCTGGACTTCTTGATTTTCCACAGGCATTTGATCAAGCTGGGGGAATACTTGTAGCCATTATAGTACAAGCAGTGAGTCTGTTGAAAATGTATCACTTTAGTTTTCAGATTTTTAATTCATAAATTCTAAAGTAATCATAGCAAAATAAAAGGATTTATTCATTATTTACCTATAAGCACACACAGATAAACTCCCTGTAAGGAAGTTATTATGTACTTGTCCATTTCTTTTGCAATTGGATGTTAAACTCTCAGTTTCCAAGTAAAAGTTTACAAAGTGCTCTGGCACATCACATAGTCTGGTTCACTTCTCTAAAAAAGCTGCTAGAAAATATGGATCAAGCATTTTGGGGTAATATATGGCAAACAATTGATTTTGGTCAATTTGAGGGTACTAAATTCAAACATTTTGCCTCAATACAAACTTAAATTTTGTCTCTTTCTTAAAAAACTTAAAAACTACCCAAAGGCTGCATTTATTTAGGTGTATGGGTTGCCATATCCATGTCTGCATAATTGAATTAACCCTTTCCATATGGGTCACAGGTGAAAGGCCATATCATCTCGTTTGTTGACTTGCATTCCAAATTTTATTTAACTACTATTACATGAATTTTTATCAATAAGTTTGGTATCAAACTGTAGGTTATAACTCAAGTTTTAGAACTATACATTAATCATTTCTTAATTTAAAAGTCAATATTAAAAAACACAGATAAACATCGATTTTTGTGTGTCACATGGTATATTGAATGCAGCAGTGGTTCAAATTAGATGTTTGTGAAGTCAAAATACTAAGTCTATAGTTTTACATGAATTAGAAACTCAAATTACAGATATAGACAAGCTCGAATATAAAATAAGAATGTCTTTTCTATTTGCTAAGTTATTGCTCATGTAACAAATCAAACATAGTGCACCCCGCTCACCTCCTTCCATTTTTGGAAATGCTCCTTTATAAACACTTACTTCTATATATGACATGAATAACCAATCAGAAGCTCAGAATGTCTCCTAGGGGTTTTCTAAGCCTTTCTAACATACTTAGCATCATTTCTTTCTTTTAAATCAAGATTTCAATGAGGTAAGTTGTGTCTTTAGTCTGCTCAAAATTTCCTATTTTCTTTAGACCCAAATACAGCTTAGTTACCACATTTGATAAATTATAGTGGAATTCTAAGGTATTGATGCAGTAATTTATGATTTTGTAGTTATTCAAAAGTATATATAAAACCTAAAAAAAATATTTTGTTTCATGTCTTCTACGT